GATAAATTTCATGTGACTTTAATATATATATCTATACTATTATAAAAGTACCAATGAATCTGTAAAAATATGTTTTGCCTAAAATAACCTTACTTTATCATCTTTATAATGACAATTTTGTAATTTATATATGATCAAATGCTACACCATACGTCTCTTCTTCAATGGCAAATGATTTACTGTCAATAATAGTCAGTGGTGATAAAGGCAGACAAGTATTCTGATATATCTTCCATGTTTATATGTTTAAACAATCTAATAAGATTAAGCTCGATATGTCATCTGCAGCTACGACGTCTTCTAATTATATATCTTCACTGATAGCTATATACTTGATAATCAAACAATTTGGTTTTTGTGCTAAGCGAAATAATAATAATAATAATAATAATAATGATAATAATAATAATAATGATAATAATAATAATAATAATAATAATAATAATAATAATAATAATAATAATAATAATAATAATAATAATAACTTCTGTCTTTCCAAAAGTACCTTTCATGTCAAAATTTTGGTTAACTTGTTTTTAATAACGCACTACAAAAAAATAGAGTTCTAGTGAAGAATTTTTTTGTCACTATGTTGTCATTATATCTACTATCACTAGATCTACAATTGTTGTCACTATATCTACTGTCAGTATATCTACAATTGTAGATATAGTGACACTATATCTACAATTATTGTCACTATATCTACAATTGTAGATATACTGACAGTAGATATAGTGACAACAATTGTAGATATAGTGACAGTAGATATAGTGACAACATAGTGACAAAAACATTCTTCACTAGAACTCTATTTTCTTGTAGTGACGTCTTAAATAATATTTATATTTTATTTTAATGGGAGAAAAAGTTGCACATATAATTTTGGACGAATAGACCTGGTTTAATTTAATTATAAACCAAGTTGATATATAGAACTTTGATATTTTGAAAAACGCTATTATTTTTAATATAATTTAAATGGTAAAATTGTAATCGCATTTCGTAATTCAAACATATAAAAGTTCTTCAAAGAAAAGTTATCCAACAAAAATAACATAATAAATATTTATAAAGAAACTAAATATTTTCAACTATTTATTTACCTATCTACAATTTTTATTAAACTAAAAATTTTGGTAAAATATGACAACTTATTTGAGGGTTAGCTTGTATATAATAAATAATTCTAAAGATTCATACTTAACTTTATTTAAGAGTAGATACCTAAATTTTACCGAAATCATGCACACGTGAAATATATACATTATCTAACAAACTAAAAAAGATAGAACAATTCCTTAACTACTTCATCATTTAAGAAAATAAATGTTTTTTTATTTGGAATTAAAATAAAAATTGCACCTTATTCTTATAAAATTGAATTATGATTTATACAAAAATCTTTATTTATTTATTTTTTTTTTTTTTATCAATTTTGGTTGCAAATTCAATAAAGTTAACGAATCTTCACATATCCATTAGATGGTTAATATCAAGGTGAATAATATTTTAATTGTTAATGCTTAAAATATTTAAACTTTTCATTCAATAATTAACTAAAATACACCATGATATTTTAATTATTATTATTACTTTATTTGAGACAAGATGAGTGCTAAATAAACAATGAGAATTAAAATTTTTGTATATATTAAATATTTTAATTATTGATATTATCTTAAGATTCTTAAACCATTTTATGATTTTTATAACAAAATGTTAGAGTTTATTTGACCATAAATATCCTATCAAATAAGATAAATTTCGATAATATTTATTTGATTTTTTAAATTTATTGATAGCTCTAAGTAAAAAATTTGGAATCCATATCGCTTGTCCTTATAACGACCATAAACTATTGAAAAATTATTTTTCAAAATAACCTATAAAAAGAATAAATTGTGTAATATATGAAAGATTAATTATTGAATGATTGTTTTGCATCCTAAACTTCCAATCTACTCAATTTCTTTGCTTAAAATAAGATTAGAACAATTTTTTGAAATTGTATAATACTAACACTCAATTCATTTATTTTCAAGTCGAATGCGATACTAATTGAACAACATGATTTAATTTTGATCATATGATTATGTACAAATTAATTAAAAATATCTCGAGAATCATATGCCTATATACGTTGAAATTATTTTTTTTACCAATAAATTATATCGAAATATACCATTACTCATCTATTTATTTATATGTATGTTTTTTTTCTTAAAACATGTACAAAATTAATATATATATATATATATATATATATTATATATATATTAATGAGAAAAATTGCAATTAGATATAATGCAATAAAGATAATGAGAAAAATTGTAATTATATATAATGCAATAAAGATATGAAACTAATAGATATATAATATGACATATAACCAAAAAGTTCTATATTTAATTGTATGCATTTTTTTTAAAAAAAAAATCTAAAGTATATATATAAATCAGGTAAAAACTGATTCGTTAAAAATACATAAAATTAAGTATATAACATTTGGTCATATGTATTAAAAAAATAAATTAATTGTATATCTTTACACACACTCAGACACACACACACACACACACATATTAAAAACATATGAAAGAAATATAAAATGAATAAAAAATATTACATCTGATAAATAATAATATTACAAATATAATTAAGTTGCAACACTTACTAATAAACATTAAACAATTTAATAAATAAAAAAATTTATGACTATAAAAAGTAAATATAAACTTTTAAAAGTTGTATTTATCCATATAAAAAATTGAATTTATCGCTTGTTAAACATTTTATTTTGTTCCAACAATCATATGTTTAATAAATTAATTCATTTATCTTACTAAACTTAATCAGCTAAAAACATTTGTCACCACGTGCATTGCACGTGCACTTTACTAGTATCTATAAATAAAGGTTTAAAATACATTAATATAGACAAATTTCATATAACTTTACACAATACATGGGGGCGCCAAGATAGGTGATGGGGAGATCGTCGCGCACAAAACCAGTGCGCTGGTGAACCCAAGGGGTCCACTGGTCAGCAATGTGATGATCAAGGGTGAAAGTGCTCTTATACACACTGACAAGCTGACCGAAAACAGAGTTATAGCGCCAAGAGGCGTATGAGCTCCGGCAAACCATCATTATCCACACGAGTGAAGATAATCATGTCATTTGCATAAGAAAGGTGCGAGATAGGGGACCAGAGCCTCCCTGAGAAACAGCCACTCGACCCTATTATATGTCTTAGGTATATCAAGCTTCAGCACAAGGTTCGGGGCTCGTAACCAATTCACATGGGAGATGTCGTGGATTCCTGAGCCAAAAAGAGGTTATCACTGATAACTCGATACTTGATGAAACCGCTCTAGTTCGGAGCAACGAGGGAAGGAAGGAGAGGGACTAGGCAACCATTAAAAATCTTGAAGATGAGCTTGTTGGTCACATTACAAAGGCTGATAAGTCTATAATAGGACCAAGAGCTCGGAGGCAAATGAGAGATAACAAGATAGGACATGACATTTCAAATGCAGTACACAATGAAAAATAGTTAGATTTCAAATTTATAATCGATCAAGTAAAATCGATATTTTCTAAAACACAATAGTTAAACATAAAAACGATAAAGTACCACGATTTTATCACCCCTACGCTAGCTAAAGCATTCCGATTCACTGTTAATCACGTGAATTAATCTGGCATCATTTCTTATTCAAACAATCAATAGCGTGACGCAACAATCACCCACATCCGATGTAAGAAGATCGATATGCATAAAAATTATTAGGATTACAAATCAATAATTTGCATTAAAAAAATAAACAAATAAATAAAAACAACTATTCAGAATCAGGAGCCTTGTTTATTCTGGTTTGCAGCCTTGCTTTTTGTTTGATCGACCCCATTTCCCCCGAGTAGATTAGATGATTCAACCCCTCTTTAACAAAAAAAGAATGAGATAAAGTAAATAAAGCCAACACTTACTTTATCCCTCCATTTTTGTTCTTTGCTTTGTCCTTGCTCCTCCTCCACTTTCCTTTCTCACCAAAAATCAATATCACAGCCCCAATCTTTATATAGGAGAAGGCTACAATCCCGTTACGGGATGGTCCATTGTTCTTTTTAAGCGTAGATTATCTACACATAACTGATCTACATGTGTATCTACAGCTAAAAAAAATAATGGAATCATTCCGTAACGGGATTGTAGCATTCTCCCTTTATATGACACACACAAATCTTCAAGATCTATGTCACCCCCATCACGTGCAACTCCACTTTAACCCCCGTATATACCCAATCCTTTTAGCTCATATTATTACACTAATCACAAAATCTCATCTTCATAGAAGTCCTAAAATCATTATTTTTTTTATTTTTATCTTAATAAAAGGCATAGTGGGTCAAGTGTGTATAGAATCTTGGGAGTCGCTATATAGGATTATCATGAAAGAAAAAGTGAACTCTGTTGGGTGTAAATATAAAAAAATTGCCCCCATGCAAAGTCATGCAATTCAGCATCACTGTCCAGTCATCATCCTTTTTCCTTTTTTTTAACCATTGTTAGTGGTGGGTGGGTCAGCTAGCTAGCTGGGAAAAAAAGTGGAGAGGAATCTCTGTGCAGTTTACCGTTCGAGACTCGAATTCTGCTCATCTTGTTTTCACACCACCGGAACTGTTCGCGGCTCAAATCCACCATTCTAAGCACTCTCGACACCACTTTGAGGTCGATAAGGGCCATAACAACTTCAAGCTCTGCCTCTTCCGTCAGCTTCCTTCTTCCCCCAAAGCACTTTCCCGACTGACACACCTCCTTCACCTTAGCCTTTTTCTGCATTTTCCCATAAAACATTATTTATTATTGTCATCTTTTGGAAAAATTATCTAATTTGATTTTTTTTTATGTTTTTTTTTTACCTTTTTGTTTGTTTTCTTTA